CATTAAGAAACACACCAGCATTAAGGTGATCAAACTCAGGCAAGTGTGGTTGATAATTACAGATTAACATTTACTTCCAACATGAACCTCAGAAGTCCTTCATGTCCATACTCAACAGATTATTTCTTCAATCATAACTCCAAACCAGATACTATACCAGGTACTAGGGTTTCCACAGACAATACCCTGTAAAGTTATTTGTTGGCCTGAATGAAAACAACAACAACAAAAAAAAAAAACCACCACACCAACACTGATGGAAAGGTATCAGAACTTCCCCTCACATGGTCACAAATACAAAGTCTGGAAACTCTGTTTACAACCAAGGATCTTCTTGGCATGTCCTATTTCCCCAAACGGTCAGCCTTTCCACAGAAGTGACAGGGATCTAGCTTGTTCCGTGTGGGTGAAGACTGACATCATAAATGTCTGTGTGGACAGACTGTCCATAACACTGGTTGAAAACTCAGATGCAAGAACTGGACCACCCATTTCTCAATCTTCTGCTATTTACCAACTAGGAAGCTAGCAGAAGCTCTCTGAGATTCAATCTTCTCATCAACAATCATCATAATAACGACAGTCTTTGTCTCATAAGGTGACTGAGAATCAACAGAAAATAAGACAGGTAAATTGCTTCGCACACCCTGGCCATAATAACTACTTGGTAGATGGTAGCTCTGATTGTTTTTTCCTTCTAAGTGGGCACTGTCATCACCCTTGTGCTTTCTGAGCCTACCCTTCCATATCAGACATGTATGTGTGTGCACACATGTGCGCACATGTGTGTGTATAAAATTTACCATCCAGTCTACAGTCAGCAAAATGGCTCAACAGAATCATAAGAGAAACTAGAAGAGGAATAACCACCACAGGAGGACTGCATTTTGAGGTCAGCAGGCCACACTGCTCAGTGGAACTGGGTATCACTTCCACACACAGGGGCTGGATGTGCCTGGGGCTGCTGTTGGAGGACGTGTGAGAGCTTCGTAGTTGTCTGAATGACAGTTAAATACGTTGGGCTTTTGTATAATGTGAGTTGTGGAAGCAGTGGGTGTGTCCACCTTGCAAGGCATGGAGTTACCTCGGAGAGGCAGGGCCCAACTCTGCAAGAACTCCACAACCCACGGTGGTATACAAGGGTAGCTGTCATGCTTAAACCAGCAGCAAACCCAAGACTCAACTATGGCATCCAAATCGATCTGGAATAATCCATCTTCACAAATTTCAACCCAAAGTGCTTCTCTGGGTTGTACTGATTGATGTATAAGGGATTAGTGAGAGTTCAGAAAGTGAAGGTAAATTAATGTGTATATAATTTCAAAGATTTGCATGTGTGTGCATGTGTGCGTGCACACACACGTCAGGACTGGGATCCTTGAACTCAGGGCTTCATGTTCTCACTTGGCTTTTCTGCTCAAGGCTAGCATTTTACCACTTGAGCCACAGCACCACTTCAGGCTTTTTGGTGGTTAATTGGAGATGAGAGTTTCACTGACTTTCCTGCCTTGGCTGGCTGTGAACCTCGATCCTTAGATCTCAGACTCCTGAGTAGCTATGATTACAAACATGAGCCACCAGCACTCGGCTCAAACATTCATTTTTATATTCATCCAAGCATGGAGCCGAATGTTATGAAGTAGAATGAGAAAAAGGCAGCAAACCATGTGAAATCACAAATCTCAAAACACAACCCAAGGTTCAAGACAGGTGTTTCCTTAGGGACGGACCACCGGCTACCCTCAACACCACATCCTATGGAGAGGCTGTTTTCAGTCTCTAAAATTAGGAGCTCTTCAAGGGACAATTTGAGATGCACCAGGCCGGTAGAAAGAAGATAGTCTGGGCTGAAGCTGAGGGGCTCTGGTACTCCTTTTGTTACTGAACAAGTTGCTTCACTGGTCCCCAGCTTCTTCATCTAAAAATGGGGATGCTCTTGGCAAAATCAACTTCATCCTTGATGAGACACTCAAAGGGACAATATATAGGAACTGTAGCACAAATATTCAGCCAGAGTATGAGAGGCAGGTGCTAGTGTTGTCAAAGTTAGTAACAAGGCAGAAAAAGCCACTATGCCAGTGGCTGAATCCACAGTCTTTGATCAAGCATCTTGGAAATAAATCCTTAGCAGGAAGAGCTGAAGGGAGGAGAGTCAGCTGATGGGCTGACCAAGAAATGGGAAAACACACCCCAGTCAGTTCTGCCACTTCCCAGGGTTGATTGAAGATGGAAAACACAGGACACAAGTAGGAGGAAAGGGAGAAGCAAGCAAACGCAGCCTTGCCGCCTGTGGATTATGGTAAAATGACAGTGTTGGCTCGGGAGGAATCGCAATAGGAACCTATTGAGGCTCCCTCTATTATATTTCAGGGCTGAATCCTGTTTTAGGGACCTATAATTCAACAGGCCTTTTCAAAAACACATTTAGGACCTGAAAAATGAAATGCAGAACCAATACAATCAAATGACATCATTCTTCTGAGTGACAACCCGAAGCATTCTGATCCCATGACCTCATTAAACAGGGTTGCAACCTGCTATTGTCCCTTCAGTGGCAAAATCAGTGGCACCCAGCACAGGGCGTTGCAAGTATCCAACCAGGATTCGTTGAATTAAGTATCTTCTCTGCCTTTTGAATAGGTTGGGAAATTGTCAGCTTTTCATCAAAACTACCACCTATTTTTCTTTTCGCATTCAAACTCTTGTTAAAATTCAATTCCACGAAGGCTTTTTTGAATGCACGCTAGCAGCAAGGAATTTACTTAAATTTTTTAAAATGCAAAACTACTAGTTCCCACCTGTGCAGCCATGACATGCTATTGTTTGAACCAGAGTATATTATTTAACTTGGATGACAAGCTTAAGGGGGGAGTAGAGACCCCCATCTTTCAGAATACACAGCTCTGAGCTCCTTGGGAGGTTCTCCATAAAGCGGGAAGAATATGTTGGGTGGGGACTCATTTTAATTAATTTTTTTCTCATCCCAGATTTTTTATCTGTCCCTTGCTTGATTTCCAAAGGGCAGCTCTCTCCCAGGAGCACCCATAAAAATGGAGAAACGGCTCTCGGTGACTTTCCCCTGTCTCTGCCCATCCCAGCATAAGTAGGGACACCTGATTGAGCCAAAATGTGCCTTCAGGATGCCTGCTGGGTTTAGAAGGAAGCAGACTCCTTCAGGACCCAATAGATAGATGTAGTCAAGAGAACTGTTTTGGCCATACACATCGACACCGCAGCTGTCAGATGGCAACGCTTGGACTTCCACCGTTATTACCTGCTGTGGGCCTCCAAGCTGTCTCCTCATTAACCCCAGAGGCCAAGTGGGCCTCCAGCTTCATGCAAAGTAATATGTTTTGAAGGGGGGTTTGGGGCGCATGCTTTCAAGTCCTTCAACAGAGAAATGGAACGCAGTGATTTGCCAAACTTGAACCATTAGATTATAAAGATGTGGAAAGACATATTAAACATTAGATAATATGTATATAGCAAGACTAAGCCATTTAGGGGGTAATGTGTTACACATACACACATGTATATATGTATATATATATTCATTTATACATTTAAAATCATACCAGCAATGAAATGAAGATGTTATATGCTTGTCCCAGCACACGCTGACAGGCAAAGGGGAAAAAAGCAAGTAACTGTTCTAAGGAGGCTTTTTCTCCCTGAATAATAGGATTAATATTTGGAACGAAGTGCCTTTCTACCTACATGTGAATACACCTTACAGCCAAAGCTTTCAGGATCCTATCTCGGTGCACAACAAATATCCTTACACATTTTCCCTTCCTCTCTGACTCATGTTCTACCAAAACAATGGCAACACCTGTAGCCAGTCCTTTTTGCTCTTTGATTTCGGTCCACTTATAAAGGAGGCTCTCAGCGGGCTCCCTTCTCTCGGGAGCCATATGTGGCATTGATGTGCCAGCAGCCTTGGAAGGGACCCGGCCTCCGGAGAAGTGCACAATAGCTTCCTAATCCCCATCAACTGGACCCTCTTGAACTGCTGCTTTATTTTCCAGTCAAAGAACTGCCAGTCTCAAGATGCCAGAGGCGGCTGCCCGGGGAGGCCCCGGGAAAACCTGTATCTTTTGCCCGATCCAAGCCAGGGTGGTGCCAAGTGAGCCCTGCAATCTAGAACAACAATCTGGAACCCAGAAATTGCCAAGAGCACCCCAACACTTCCTCCTTCTCCCTCTCTGCCTTCTTTCCCTCCCCTCCGCCCCCCCCACCGCCGCCGCCAGCTCACCCCTCCCGGGTGAAGCTTCCGACCCACAATGCCACCCTCCCGCCTACGCTAAGTCCCCCCCCTCCCAGTTGGAGACCCGACCACAGCAACCCAGCGCCAGCCACAGCCCCGCCCCCTTGCTCTGGGTCGCGCGCTGGGGGTTTGCTGAGCGGCTTTGGCTGGCGAGCATTGATTTACTCGGGTTAAGCAGGCTCCCAACTCTTCGGACCCCATCCTACGTGTTGCCGGGGAAGGGGAACTGGGGAATGGGGGGGGGGCACAAAGGCTGGGGTGTGGCAGCGAGCCCTTTAAGGTTCAATGGTTTCTCTGCTGAGAGCCCAGTGTTTAGGAACTGTGTTCACCTGGACAGTGAACCCCACAATCCCCGACCCCGACCCCCCCCACAGAGGAACGGGACTGGAGAAGAAGCCACGAGAGACAGGAGGGGGTGCTTGGGGAGGCTCTGTCCCAAACATGCACTAGTCTTCGCAGAAAAGGGGGACGCCACTAGAGTTTTGAACCTATCCTCCCCCCTCCCCACTGCCCCCCCACCCTTCCCGCCAGCCGCCCTTTTCCACACGCTCCCCTTTGGGGGCCGGCGGGCTGTGTTTTGAGTAGCCTGAGGTTTCAGATAGCCAGCGGCGCGGAGAACCCGAGACTTGGTAAATGTCACCCAGGTCCTCCCCCCGCCCCCCCCTCCCGTCCCCTTCCCGCCATTCCGCCCCGGGCCCCGAACGGCGCCAGGCTCCCGGAGGGGAGGACTCACGCAGTTGGGCTGGGTGGTCTCGAAGTCCCAGTTGCAGCTCTTGGCGCTCGCCTGGATCTCACTCATCCGGAAGAGGCAGAGCGCCGTGGTGGCGGGGGAGCGCCTCTCCTGGCCCTCTCCGGTGGCCGCGCTGAAAACGCCGGCCCAGATGTCCAGGGCCTCCACCAGGCTGGAGGAGAGGAGCAGGCGGCGGCCGTCGGGGTGGCCGTGGCCGCAGTCGAGGGCCGCCTGGCCCTGGAACAGCACCTCGGCGCTCTGCGCGATGCGCGCCATGCTGGGCCAGCCGGTGGCGGCGCCGCTCGTGTAGTTGTAGGGGTAGTAGGGGAAGTAGACGCTGCCGTTCCAGAGAAAGGCGTCCACGAAGTGCAGGCTGCCCGCCCCGTCGCGCAGGTTCAGGCGGCCCAGCTCCTGCGTGGGCAGGCTGCGCGACTCGGTGTTCTTGAGCGCGATGGCCGTGCTGCGATCCGAGGCGGCGGGGTTGCAGCGGTGGGCCGTCTCGGGCTCGGGCAGCACGTAGGTGGCGGCCACCGCCAGGTACCACTGGTTCAAGTGGCCGGCCCGGTACACCACGCCGGCCGTCGAGCCCTGCGGGTGACACGACACCACCTCGGTGCCATTGCGCAGGGACCCGCGGCTGAGATTGCCCAGGGGCCGCACCTCGCAGGCGCCCCGATCGAAGGTCCAACCGGTGAGCAGCAGCCCCTCGAGGCCGGCCGCCCCCTCGCGGTAGGGCAGCAGCAGCTTGCTGAAGCTGCTCCCCGGCCGGGGCCGCGCGGGGGGCGCCAGCGACACGGGCTCCGTGCAGTTGCCCTCTCGGTCCCGGTACAGGCGCGAGAGCCTGTGTTTCAGGCTGTAGTCCAGCTGGTCCAGGCAGCTGCCGCTCGCCACGAACACGCCGTCCGCCCGGCTCGCCGCGATGGCTCCGATGGCTTGCTCCGATCGCCACACCGGTTCACCCGTGCCCCGGGCGGGCGCCGCCAGCGCCAACAGATAGGCGAGGAGGGGCAGCGGCAGCGCGGGGCGCGGGGGGCGCGGCGGCGCCTTCCTCGGGG